CAGGGCAGGACAGAGACACGAATACAGAATCCACGACTCCTGCCCTGGCCTAGTCCCTCTCTTCCCATCAGGGTGGTCTTGCCACAACCTCTTAAGTCATTCCTCTAAATCTTACATTATTATGCATGAGTCAGTGGTTGAGAAATGTAAAGCAAATGACAGTCACAATGAGGTTCTGAGAGATGTGTTAGAAAACAGGGTGGCTGGGCAAGATGGACCCGTGGTAACAGGGCCGAGGGGCACTCACGGTCAGGCAGGGTGGAGCGCTCCACCACTGAGCCGAAAGGCCCATCCATGTCCACACCATGTGACTGTACTGCAAATTCATACTTGGTAAATGGCTTCAGCCCGCCAATGAGGATGTCTTCTCCAGAGCTGCCAAGGGAAGAACCAAAGAACTGTGACTAATACTCAAGTACACTCTTTTTTTTTTTTTTAATTTTTTAAAAAAGATTTCTTTTATTCAGGTACACACTTCTAGTCTATTCCCTAGCCCCTTCCCCAGCCCACCTGAGGAAAGCAATCTGCCCCTTGGCTTGGAGGCCACTAAACCACCCAGAGGACCTATAGAGAGCTCTGGACGTATGTTGCTTCACGTATGTCTGGTCATTGTGCTTCATGGCCAATCTTCAAGTCATGCCCCCTCCTCCAGGAAACCTTCCTGGATTAACCTGAGTTATTCTCTACCCAGAGAACTTTTTTTAAAAAGGTATATTTATTTATGCATACAAGAACTGGGGTACAGGCCAGAGGTGTAGGGTGGGGAGAGGAGTGAGAGGATTCACCACAGTCAGAGTGGGGAGCAGAACAAGCACTGAAATACACTGCTGAGGGAAGCAGTAGGCAAGACAGAGGTCTGCTGTGCCATGTGGGTCAGCTCCCTGACCGGGGATCAAACGTGTGTTATAGTGGCTCCTGATAGTTTCCTAGTGCTAAGACTTCACTCCTTGCATCACCAAGGGGGGGCCCAGGGAGCCATTTTTGATGGATCTTTTCCTTGCCTTGATTTTCCATTTGTTGCAACCTATTATACCTATGTAATGTTTTCTCTGATAAGCGAGCAACTCCTCAAGGCAGGGATTCTGTCTCCCCATCTGACTGGGGGCCCTCTCAGGACAGCAGCTGAGCTGTCTCTTTTTGTTAGCCCTCTGAGGTTGAAGTAATAGGACTGTCCTGCATCACTTCCCAAGGTTCTGTTTTGAGGAGATGGGATTGGATGACCTCCCCTTCTCCACCTATGTCCCCCAATGTAACATGTGAACCATGGAATGTTCCTGAACCCCAGGGTCTCTCTCCTCACCACCACCTGCTCCTGCTACCTCCATCACCACCCTGTCCACTCTTTTTCCCCCTTTATAGCATCAGCCCGGTCCCCACCTGGTGTAATAAGTGACGAGGGAGGCATTCCTGAGCCCCCAGGGGCTGAAACGCACAGTATAGTTGACAATCTTCACTGTGGTGAAGTCTGGTTTTTTCCACCGAAGCCAAATGGATGTGGAGCTGTTGGATTCTGCATGGACATGGGCAGGTGGCAAAGGTGGCCCCCTCTGGATGGGCAGATCTGGAAGGTGAAAAAGAGTATGGAGAGGGAAGACACTCTTCCCTAAACATGTAAGGTGTCTCAGGTTCCCAGTTGATGGTCTCTTCCTTTTACCTTCTTTTGCCCCTTCTTTTTTCCTCATCTTAGGAAAGAATTTAAGTGACTTTTGTCAAGGTCACACATACAGTGGATTGTGGAACACTGATATGTAAGAATGTACAGGAGAGAAGTAGCAAGTCATGGCAGTTAGGAGCCAGGCAACCCCACTTAAAATTCCACCTCTGCCACCTATTAGCTGTGTGACCATGGAGAAGTTACCTAACCCCTCTATGCCTTTATTTCCTATTCTGTAAGTGAAGCTGATAGGAGAGCCTGCCTCATGGAGTAGTTATGAGATGAGGATTAAATTAGTTGGTATTTGTAAAGTACATAGAAAAGTATCTGGCATATAGTTATAGACTGAATGTTTGTGTACCCCCAAAATTCATATACATATGGTGGATCCCTCACGAACAATATCTGTGCCTGTCTTTGTCCACTCAGGCAGCCAGAACTTGGTAGCTTTTAGACAACACATTTATGTCTCACAGTCTGGAGAATGAAGCGCCAGCATAGTCAAGTTCTGGTGAGGGTACTCTTCTGGGGTGCAGGCTTCTTACTCTCTGGTCACGCAGCAGAGAACAGAGATGAAACTAGCTCTCTTGTGACTCTTGTAAGGGCACTAATCCTAATTGCCTTCTCATGCATCACATCAGAGGCTAGGGCTTCAACACATGAATTTGGGGAGCACACAAGCTTTCAGTTCAGAAGCAGCACCCTTACAGAAGAGAGCTCGCCAGCTCCCTCTCTGCCTCATGAGAACCCAGACTAATGATCTATGAATGAGCAAGTGGACTCTCAGCAGACACAGACTCTTGACACCTTAATCTTGCGCTTCCTAACCTCCAGGACTATGGGAAGCAAATGTTGGTTGCCTAAGCCCCCAGTCTATGATGTTCTTGTGATAGCAGCCTGAATTACATATGCGGCATATATGTACCTGAATATATAGTAAGAACTATGGGCTGATAAGTGTTTATTACATAAACACAAAATATCAACTCCATGAGAGCAGAAACCTTATTTGTGTTGTTCTTCACACTAAATCCCTAGAACAAAGCTGGCATGTAGCAGACTCTCAGGAAATGACTTGCTGAATGAACTAACTGGAATTAGAACCCAGGTCTCTTGGCTCCTGATTGGGTTTCCTTTCCACTAACCTGCTTCCCATGGTGGGAATGAACCTGGGAATTTAGGGGTGAGGAAGCAATGGCATGGGCCACCATGATGCCGGGACAGGTCCCTGAGAAGGAAAAGCCTGCCGGGGAGCAGGGAGTCCTGGTTCAAGTCTGGGTTCTGTGTGACTTCAACAGGTGCTTTCACCTGCCTGAGCCTCAGTTTCCTGTGAGTCACATAACAGATTCTCCCTGCTGGGAGTGCGGGGATAAGCTAAGAGTATGACATTGGTGGGTGTGTTTTCAAACAGTAAAGGTCAAATTTAGGGTCAGGAGCCACCTTCCAACGTTGGGGTTGCTTTCTGTCCAAATCTTCCAAATTAGGATTGTTCAGATCATGAAAGACAAGACTAAAAGGCAGGGAATGGACTGGAACTCCTGTCTCTGACAGGCCATTCGGAGCTGGAAGAGGACCCCAGGCCTAGAAGAATGGAGTGGCCAAGGCTATGGCCTGATCACCAGGGCCTGACCAGAGGGAAAAAAAAGGGAGCCGCACACAGAAGCCTCCTCTGGACCTTTCCCGCCTCCGCAGTCCCTCACCTGGTGTGGGAGCCTTCTCCGTTCTGCCCTTCCACACTGCTGCATAGCCGTCCTCATGTTTGTTGAATGCCACGAGCTTCACCTCATACAGCCGGCCAGGGACTGCAGAAGGTGACAGGGGTCACTCACTGGCTAGCAGGACCTCTGGGGTCACTCTCTCATCCCCAGAGGAGATACCATCTGATCCCTGCACCCAACTTGTCCAGCCCCCTCTGAAGCTGTGTCCATCTGGCTCCCTCCCACAGCGCTCCTCACCTAGCTGGGTCAGCTCATACTGCTTCACTTTCTTCTTGAGTCGGACAGGCCCCACATCCCAAGCCTGGTCTCCACGGCCCCCTGGGGGGCTTTCACCATCAGTCTCCTCCTCAGCCCCCACCTCCCGCCAGTACAGTTTGTAGCCAGAGATCTGGGCGGGATGAGGGGGTGGCTGCCAGGAAACAACGAGGGACTCCATCCTCGCCAGTACCTTCAACTCTGCAGGGGCAAAAGGGACTGGGGCACAGGAGCAGGATGGGAAGGAGGAGGGAGAGAACGGGGAAGGAGGAGGAGGAGGAGGCCAGGGATGGAAGAAGAAGAAGAGGCAAGAAGAAACAAAAGCAGGAAGACAGTATTTAGTGACACACTTGTCAGCCTTCTTTCAAAGCCTCCCCGCTCACCTACCACCCTAAGTGCCAGGCCCGGGCTCACTATTGTACAGGCCCAGAGTTCTGTGAGTGCAGTGATGAATTTGGGGCATTTGCAAAGAGGTTAACTAGGGGCAGAGTGTGGGGCTCTCTAGGTCCCCTGAAGGGATGAACGTATGGAAGCCGGCAATCAGTGGGTCACAGGGTTTGTGGAAGCTGGGAAGGAGGGTGGAGTCATTAGACAGGGAGCTCTACTTAGAGTCAATACTTGGGGGGCTTACTATTCATCAGACACTATGCTAAGCCCTTTGTACGTGCATTTTAACTTCATTCTCATAACCTTCTACAATAATAAAAATGCTATTTTCCCCATTTTAAAGATAAGAAAACTGAGGCTCGGAGAAGTTAAGTGACTTGCCTAAGGTCACAGAGATAGTATGTGTGTCTGGTTTTGTCTGCCTTTAGCCACTCTACTACTGGGCCTTTCAAGAAGATCAAATACAACCATAATAATGGAAGCAGCTGCTATTGAGCAATTTCTTGTTATGTACCAGAGATTTCATTTGCATTGCGTTATCAGTCTTCATGCTTGGCAGTAACTGAAGCCTTAGAGTTGTGAATGGTTTGTCTGGGGTCACATGACAAACAGAGGGGACATTTTGAGCCTAAATGTGTGTAAAAGGCCAACTTCTACACCTGTCCTCAGTCACCCACCCTGTGGGAGGAGCCATGGGAGATCTCTGAGGTGGGGTTGGGGGTATGGGGTGTGGGGGGGTGGGTCTGGGTTCCAAAGGCACACATGCACCCACACACTGCTCAATCCTGTCACCCCAACCCAGGCCCCATACCATGGCTCTGGTTGTGTACACTGGGTGTCCTGTGCTGCACCCATTGTGAGGGGGCCCCGTAGCCAGCCCCTGTGCCAGCTGAGATTCGCACTCGATACACCTTGCTGGGCTGAAGCGAGTTTAACGTAAGCTGTGTTTCATTTCCTGGCACCTCGGTGAAGAAAATCTGATCTGCTGGGACAGAAAGGACTAGCTGCTGGGTGGCCACCCTCCATTCCCCTGCACCAAACTCTTCCACCCCAGATCCTGATTCCTCGGTGCCCAGGGGAGCTTGAGGCCTCAGTGGCTAGATGGACAATGTGGGTCTGGCTACCACAGGTCATCAGCCTTGGCTCAGAGTGGACACGATTATAGCATGCTTCCCCCACTTCTCCACAAGCTGCCGATGACCGCAGCTTCCCAACACTTTGCACATTCAATTTCCCACCCCGCAGTGCGTAGGCACAGAGGGTTGGTCCTGAAGGTCAACAGGCATTGCCACATTTCAGAGCCCTGATGACCACCCCAAGTCTCTCCCTCCCTCCCTCCCTCCTCCTCAACGTCCCCCTCCCCTTCTTCTAGCTACTTGCCTTCTCCTAAATCTTTTTATCCCTTGCATACCCCCACCCCAGGTTACCAACATCTGCCTCAACACACCCTCCCCATGCCCCATCTCTCCCAAACCCACAAACCCCTTACCTCTCTATCTCCCATCTATTCATATTTTTTGAGCTGGAAGGGACCCAGGGGTTACCTGCCTCATTTCACAGGTAAGAAACTTAGGGGCTTTACAGGATTATGCAATGCACCTATAGAGCAGGAGGGGCTCAACTCTGGCCTCCCCAGAGAAAACTAGCCCTCTTTGTCTTTTCTTTTCACTCCTGCCATCCCTACCCTTAGCCCACACCCTTTTTCCAGAATCATCTTTCCTTGTAGCACCACTCTGCCTCGTTTCTTCAGACTCCCCACTCCCCACCCCCATTTCTGCCCAGGTCCAACCCTTCACATGTTTAATTCCCAAGCAGGTAAGCCTCCACCTCCCCCACTTACCTTCCTTTCCCAAACCGTACTCTATCTTGTACTTCACCACCTGCCCATTGCTCAGGCTGGGAGGCAGGGGCAGCCACGCCACCCTGATGTCCGAGGGGTTGGGGCTGGACAGGGAGAGCTGAGGTGCTGCGCTGGGGACTGAGACAGAAGAACATCAGCATGAGCTCTGCTCCACCGACGTGGAAGGTGAGGCCCAGGATCGGTCAGAGACTTGCCCAGGTCACACAGCAAGTCAGAAGTAGGCCCAGGACCAGGATCTGAGGGAGGAAAGGGAGCTTCTCAGGAGAGCCCCAAGCTGGACATGAGGGAACATCCTTCCCACCCTGAAGCCAGAAATAGGTCTGGGGCACAATCTCCAACAACCAATGGGTTAATGTCACTGGCCCCTGCCTGACTGGATGGTGCATGTGTGTCCCGAGAAGGGTTATGTGATACAGGGAGTCTCAAGATCTGGGTGTGGGTCTCAGTTGTACTATTGACCATGGGCAAGTCACTCTCATTTTCTGGGCCTCAGTTTCCTGGACTATAACCTGGGGAGAACCCTTGTCCACCCTCTTCAGAGAACAAAAGATGGCACAAGGCAGGTAAAAGAGCTCCCACCAGTAAAGAGAAGCAATGCTACTACCCCCAGGGAATTCTCTGGGCCCCAAGGTGCCCCTTGCAGGTTCAGAGGCCCTACCATCATCCGGTGTGTGGACCAGCGCTGGGGTGGAGGTGCGGCTGGCCCCCAGCTGGGAGTAGGCCACCACGTAGAACTCATAATCAGTGTTGGGTTCCAGGTCCCGAACCTGTAGCTCTGTGGTGTCATTGTTCACTGCAAACTGGTACTCCACATTGTCCATCCCTATTGCAGGGACACAGAGGACAAAAAGACTATTATCATCACAGGGCTACCACCAGGCCCTAGGCAATTGAAGGCTGTCTAAGGATCTTTGATATTGTCCCAGTCTCTGGAATAATTTATAGCTGAATCATATACCAGGTAAGTTACGCTGGAGAATATTAACTACCCCGGCTTCTACTCCACTGTATTATTAGTTCTTCCACTGTCTAGGAAGTTCTTTCTAGAGTCTCCATTAAGGAATCCCTGCAGCAGTTTCAAAGGTGGCTCCTTTTAAGGACAAGGCATTCTCCCTGGGAGAAGCATCTTCCTCCTCTGTCATACTGGCTGAGAGTAAAACGTGCCACACACTGGAAGGCAGAAGTCTGTTGTCTAAGTCTGAAGGGAGATGAACTCATCCCTGGGGCTCCAACCGTCCCATCCAGTCTACACCCAGGTTGGCTTGATCCAGCCAACCTGTGCCCTCCCAAGACGCCCCTTTCTGGGCCTTAGCTGGAGCGACTCAGGGCCCCAGCAGACATACCCCGTGCCTTCTGGTAGTGTAGGGAGAAGCCGATGATCTGCTCGCTGTGCAGCTCGGGTCGTTCCCAGGCCACCAGGACCGCAGAGCTGCTCAGTGGTGTGGCCGTGACGCGCGTCGGAGCGCTGGGCAGCCCCTCGCGCACCACGACCGCCAGCCGGGCGGCGGCGCACGCAGTGCCAGCGTGGTTCTCGGCCACACACTGGTAGTAGCCGGCGTCTTGCAGGCCGATCTGCGTGATGACCAGACTACCACCTCCGCCCTGCACCTTGACGCGCCCGTTGGGCCTCAGCGGCGCCCCATCGTGCAGCCAGCGCAGCGCGGGCCGCGGCTCCCCCGACGCGCGGCACACGAAGCGCGCGGTGCTCGCCCGCGTCCGTGACAGCGCCTCGGGCGCCTGCGAGATGGCAGGCGCCGCTGGGGGCGGAGAGGAGGACGCTGACCTAGAGCGCCGGTCACTGGGGGCTCTGTCCCCCACCCCAAAAATTCCCACTGCTTCCACGAACTCCTCTAGGTGCTGTAACCTTTCCCCACCCTCCCCTAATACTGTAGGACAGCAGACACGCTTCTCCCCGTTTTTAACCCAGCCTCACACTGAGCATGCTCTTCTTCTCCCAGAATGGTTCCCATTCTTCCCCTAAACATCCCAAATAGCTCTCCTCCGCCTCATCCCATTAACTCGTTTACTCTCTACCTTCTAGAGTTCCTCCCTGACCCAACTCCCCCCAACTTCCAGCCTCTTTCCACCACCTCCTTTCTCCCAGTTATCTATCTAGTCTGTCCTTCAATGTTCCCTAACAAATGGCTCCTGCCCGTGAGTTTGACACACACACCCGACCCCACCTCACCCCCCTCCACCCCCCCCCCCGGCAGCCAGCAGGATCCCCACTTCCCCCTCCAGGATCGCACCTCAGTCCCCCTAACACACCCTCTGCCCACTTCTCTCTCCCTAGTCTTCCCTTGGCCCCATTTAATCCGCACCACTCCCGGCTCCCTCACACCTCCACCTTCAGCCATCACAGCTCACCCAGCACTCGGAGCTCTGCGGCAGCGGTGGCGAAGTCGCGGGTAAGGGGCTTGTTGGCGCGGCAGACATAGATGCCCGAATGCCGGGGCTGTGCCCTGGAGATTAATAAATTGGTGCGGCCCAGAACGATGACATCCGTGGCGATAGGCTTCCCATCTGGAGGAGGAGAAGGAGCGCTGGAGCGGGCCCTGAGGACCGGCCCCTCCGTTCACTTTCCCAGCCTGGAGGGAAAGGGACTCTAGAACCGGGTTGGAGAACACAACGGGGTCCTCTCTGGAGGCGAAGCGGGTTAAAGCAAAGCACCGTGAAGCAACCGCAGCGCTTCTGGGCGAGTTAGATCTCCTCCCATCCCCCAAGCCCGCGGGGGAGCTGACCCTTATGGCCTAGCAGACCTCTCCCGTCTAGCCCACTGCTCCCCTCAACAGTGTATTTCCCACTGCTCCCCTCAGCAGTGTATTTCGTCAGTCTGCCTGTTCTGCTCCCCACTCTGCCTCTGGCAATCCTCTCACTGCCCCTGACCTCTGAACAGTACAGCTCTGCATGCATAAAAATAAATCTTAAAAGAGAGAGAGAGAGAATACAACAGTCCCTCCACTAGTCTGTGACCCTGGAGCCTCAGTGTCTCCATCTGTAAAATGGAGAGCCCCTGGCTGGAAGGCCTGCTATGACAAATGGTGGGACAAATAAGGTTTTTGAAAACCCTGTGTAGGTACATAACAGATGCTAAGTACATGAGCAGATATTCCTGAGCATTATTAAACTCATATCTCTCAAAAAGGACACAACCTTACTTATAGTCTTAGCCAATGAGACAATGAAGAATTTATGACTGGGAAAGGTCTGGCCAGATACAAAGATTTGAATGTGTGCAGAGACTTTTATCTCCATGTGAAAAATCATGTCAAAAGCCCTGCCTTGTGGATATGAATGGAAAATCCAGAGAAAAAATGCAAATGGCCAAGAAACACAAAGTGTTCTCAGCTTCACATAATCAAAGAAATTGAAATCATCAAAATACAGATGTTAATTTTCTATAAAATGGGAAAATTAAAAAAAAAGTTGCAAAACTAGAGAAAGGGTAAATGTTCAGGAGGCTCCACATGGGCCACACCTTGACCTTGAAACTAGGAATTCCACGTGGGCACTTGCCCTGGGGATATGGAAACAGCACCGATCACTGTAGTATGAGTGCTAGCTGCAACTATGAAGAACTGGAAAGGGCAGATTTTTCAAAAACCAGGTTTTGAAAAAACTCTTAAAGATGGGGGGAAATGGTTCTGATATGCTGCTGAATGAAAACAGAACTGGAACTCTAAGTACATCATGCTCTCAATTTGAGGAGAAAATGTACATGTGCATTTAAAAATCTGGAAGAAAATAGTCATATGTTAACAATTTTTAGGAGTGGCAGGATGTTTGTTTCTACATTCCCCTAGTTTTCTACAATGAACATGTACAATTCTGCAATCGAGCAAAATAAGCCATGCGCCTTCCCTGACTTAGTGGAGTAAGCTCCTGGAAAAGGACAATGCCTAGGGTCAGGGTTGAAGCCCTTTTCCAGTGCAGTCCTCTTCCCAGTCTGTCTAGAAGTGCTAGGAGCAGTTTCTCCTGTGGTTCTCTGAACCACAGGTGTCAGGATCCTCTGGGACAACAATTCTCAAATCTTTGTTCTTATGAATCACAGAATTGCAGGAGACCTCTTTCAGATATGGAAGCCCAAGCAGGCCCAGATTCTGCATTTTCAACTGGGCCCAGGTGGTAGCTCTGAAGGGTACTTTCAGTAGCAAAGACAGAGGACACTTGATTCCTGGCTCACAATTCTATTTTTGCATAGAAGAACTGAAGTCCAGGCCAGAGGTGTGGGGAGGTGAGAAGATTCACCGGAGAATATGTGGGGAACAGAAGAGGAAGATTTACTGAAATACTCTGCTGAGGGGAGCAGCAGGCAAAATAGATGTCTACTGCACCACATGTGGTTTAGTGCCCTGTCTGGGAATCAAACTCAGATCGTGGTGATAGCACTGAGACCTAGCCCCTAGGCCACCAGGGAGATCATGCTGGCTCACAGTTCTCTAGGCATGAGGGAAGGAGACTACGAGTTTAAAGTCCCCGATATATAATCAGGACTTGAAACACTAATATTAGAAATTCTGGGTAACACCACAGCCTTGCCCCAATAATAGTATGAGGGTTCTGCTGGCCCTAAGATCATCCTAACAAGGCAAGTGCTGCAGGTCCAATGAGGCCTTGCAGACTGGGAGACACAAAGACACCATTGTTCCTTCTTAACATCTTGGTGACAGACATTCCATTTATTATTTCTCTTTAAACTATATGCTTTTGAATGTGAGATGCAAATTTATAAAACAGAGGCAGGGCCCTCACTGGTGGTGCAAGGGGTTAAAGCGCAGCACTATGAGGTTATCTGTAGCTACTGCACCACAAGATCAATCCCCAGCCCGGGAGGTGACCCACATGGTGCAGCAGACCTCTCCTGTCTGCCTCTTGCTCCCCTCAGCAATGTATTTCAGTATATCTGCCTGTTCTGCCCCCCACTCTGTCCCTGGTGAATCCTCTCACCCCCCATACCTCTGACTTGCACCCCAGTTCTTGTATGCATAAATAAATCTTTTTTATATAACAGTTTATTTTTACATCATTTTGTACTTTTCTTTTTTTTAATCTCAATTGTAATCCCCACGGGTTTGCCATCACCAAGTGCCATCACCATAGTCCCGTGCACTTCCCTCCCCACCCCTTGCATAAATAAATCTTGAAAAAAAAAGCATGGACCATGGTGATGGCACATGGGTAATGGGAAGCCCAAGGGGATTGCAACTGAGATGGAAAAGTGCACAAAATGATGTAAAAATAAACTATTATATTATTTAAAAAAAAAAAAAAGCAGAGGCAGGGTAGGGTAATAGCCTGAACCAGGAAAGAAGGGTAAAGAAAACTAGTGTAAAACTTATTTCCCCATTAACTTGGGACAAGTCACTTCTTACTGATGAATAGAAACAAAAATAGTCCTTGTTTTTTTCCCATACAGGACAGTATGGACTGGTGTACCAAAAAGAGAACAGGCTCTGAAGTTTGGGTCCTGCCTCTCCACCTGCTTCTGAGTCGGTGTCCTCATCTGCCCACTGGGCATAACAGTCCTGGCCCCAGGCCTCCAGGGAGCACAGGAGAATGAGTCTGAATGCTGAGTAGGTTGCAAGGTGGTCCGGCCCAGCGGGCATTGCCTTGATAGCACCTCCTGTGGTGCAGTTCCACTGGGCACTGGTCACTTGCTGCCTGACACTAACAAACCACTCATCGTGGCTGTTCTTTTTTTTTTTTTTAAAGGTTTATTTATTTGTGCATACAGAACTGGGGTACAGGCCAGAGGCTCAGGGGCGGTGAGAGGCTTCTCCAGAGGCAGAGTGGGGAGCAGAACAGGCAGATCAATGAAGTACACTGTTGAGGGGAGCAGCGGGCAAGTCAGGAGAGGTCTGCCACGCCATGTGGTCACCTCCGGGGCAGGCGGGAATGAAATTCATGCGGACGTGGCTTTAGCTTCTCAGTGCAGTGCTTTAACCCACTGCGCCACCAGGGAGGGCCCATTGTGGCTGTTTTTATCTCCCTCATCCACACTATAAGTTCAGAGGGCAGAGTCCCTCTCTGTCTCATCTGGAGATTTCATTCACTGTACCCAGCCTACAGCCAGGCACATAAAGGCTGGAAGCAACTCTGTGGTTAGACCAGCTGTGGGATCCTGGATCTATCTGCCGTACCAGCGGTGTGGCACCTTCCCAACTCTCACACACTCACTTGTAAGTCTTGTGCAGAAGGGAAAGAAGATGCGGAAACTGGCCTAGTGACCACCCTAGGTAGGGTCTCAGTAACAATGTGTAAAGGGGGGCCAAGAGCTTCCTTGGTAAAGGAAACATGCTACCCAGACAGGTGGTTAAGTTTGTCCAGGTTTCCCGTTCACAGTTGGCCCTGGCAGAGGGGTTCTTCTGCACTAAAGCTCACAGTTCCCCGGCTTGGGGAGACTCACCACCTCCTCGTTCCTGTTTCCTTCACTTACCCTGTCGGACCCAGGACACGAAAGGGGTGGGGTCAGCTGAGGCCACACACTCCATCACCACACTCTGGCCAGAGACCACCGTGGTGTTTTCTGGGGCTGCCACAATGACCACATCATGCCCCTGGGTGGACACCAAGGACCCTGGAGAAAGAGCAGGGCAGGAGGGAACCTTACCATTAGTGTCTTCACTTGCAGTACCTCACCTGATAATAGTTACCTGGCAGGTGGACAGGGAGCAATCAGGATGTCATCTGGTAAACGGTGGTGACACAGCTCAGCAGAGCTGGGATTGGAACTCAAAGTTCTTTCTCTTGAAGCCAGGAGAAAAATAATCTGGCCTATGACACACCTACCCTCAGTCTTCCTCCCAAATCCTACTAACCCTTCAGGCAGAAGCCCAGAGGGTATGGATTGGGAAATAATAATCATTGTTTAGCTTCATTACTGCCATCAATATGTGGTGTGACCACAGGCAAGTCCCTCTCCAAAGAGTCTCAGGTTCCCACATGGAAGTGGCAGCAGTGGGTAAAAGTTTCTGCCACCTTGGCAGCTCCCTGAGCACTGACTCCCTGCCAAGTTCTCAGCAAGACTCAGGCCATGTGGGTGGGCATGGGAAATACCTCGTTTGTCCAGCAGGTGGAGGCAGAGACCCACCATGAGGACTGGGCCCACCAGCCAGAGCCCCACCAGCTAAGTCCTTAACTGTGGGTGGGTGTAGGGTTAGGGAGGAGTAGGTAAGAGGGATGTATAAGGCAGTAGCCAAGTGAGGGGAGATGCCATGGCAAGGGGAAGCCTGCTGGGGCAGGCCTCAGTGAGGTTTGTTCACACCTGCTATGTCTGGGCACTCTCCATTCGTGTCTCAGCTATTCTCACCACCCCCCTGAACCTGACATTCGAGAACAAGGCCAGGGTCACACAGATGGTGAGTGGGGAAGCCAGAATTCCAACCAGGTCTTTCTGACCCCAAAGCCCTGCCCTTCCTACGGAATCACATATGGGCAGGATCTTTTCCGAGAAAAAGATAAGCACACTTGCTACAGTGCACTGTGGCAAGGGGAGAATCCCCCTGTGCCAGGAGACCTTGGAGTCACAAAGGGGCAGTGATGAGGTCTTCAGGGCACTCATAGCCCTCCTCAGGCGCCTTACCACCCCATTCCTTTCCCTAGTCCTTGATGCTCCATCCAATCCAAGGGAACAGAGACTACACAGGAGGGAGGGAGCCCGGACTGGAAGTCCAGTCTTGGGTTCCCAGCCCAGTTCTATCCCTGACTCACTGGGTGGTCCTGCTTTCTCTGAGCTTTGAAGCCTCACCTGTCCATGGGACTAATACCCCCACATCCATTTGAAGGCAGGGTTTGGACCTCTTGAGTCCCCTCTAAACACTGAGGTGGTTGATGGCAGAAACCCTCAATTTCCCCTCCCCCAATCAGCCTCCTCACCTCTGTGGGTCACACTGAGTACGGCCTCCTGGCTGAAGCGCTGGTGGGCAGAGTTGGTGGCCACACAGCGGTAGGAGCCAGCATCACCCTCCTGAACATCCAAGATCTGGAGGACCCCGTTGGGAAGAGTGATGAATCTTGGGAAGGGGGGAGAGGGTACCTGTGAGGTGGGTGGGAACACTACAGGGAGGGTGGCTTGCCCAAACCTTCCTGGTCCACCTTCCATTCCAGCCTGAAATACCTACAGGATTTCAAATCTCATGCATACTAAAGAAATGCAAATCAAAGCTATAAGATACCATTTTTACCTCTGAAAGTAGCAAAGATCAAAAAATTTAATAATGCCCTAGGAGGAATAGGGAAGGGCACTCCAAACCTACTAATATACCCCCTTTCAAGGGCAAACTGCTGATATCTTCACATTAGACTTGCATAAGCCTTTTGACACAACAATGCTACCTCAAGGACTCTGTCCCACAGATATTCTCATAAATGTACACAAATATGTACTCTTAATGACAGTCACTCTAGCACTATTTGTTACAGCAAAAAACTGGAAACAATCCAAGTATACACCTGGAGGTCGACAGCTGCAAAGCTGGTTTGGAACCATTCATACAGTGGAATGCTAGGCAGCTGTTAAAAAGGAGGTAGCCCATGTGTGCTGATGTAGGATGATCTTCAAAATATATTTGGTATAGAACAGTGTGTGTGTTTTTGTGTGGGGAGGGGCAGGGGGGAGTTGGAGAGAGCAATATGGAACACTTACATGCTCGTACTGAATGTTTCTGGTATTTGTCTCTGGGATCCTCACAGTGAGACTTATTATTATATATGTTTGTATTTGTGTGTGTGTGTCTATAAGTACATATATATACTTATATATATATATATACTTATTTTAAAACCATTCACCTGTATTAATTACTCCCTCCACTGGCAACATTCCTTTGTTCCCACTATTTAAGCTGATATCTCACAAAACAAATCCAAAAGCTAGAGGTGATCACAACTTCCATTTTGTTGGTGACAAAACCGAGGCTTTGAGGGAATAAGATATGTCCCCAGGGTCTCATCACTGGTGCAGTTAAAACTTGAACCTAGGTCTTCTGGTGTCAAATTCCATGACCCTGCCCCATCTCTGTTTCAACAACCATCAGACGACAGAGAATGCCCTGGAAGGAATGTATTCTCCAGCAAACCCCAGTGATACTTAACAAGCTCTAGTTAACATATATAGGGGCAAGATAGATGTGAGTGGCTTCTCTGCCCTCTTGATTAGAGGTAAAAGCTGCTCAAGCTAGAAAGGTCCAGAGACATTGCAATCTAAGGTGGAGAATTACCCATAGGACCAAGATGCTAAGAGCAGAGTAGCTTCTGGCCCACGCAGAGGGCAAGTGAGCTGACCCCTCCAGCTGTGATCCTTGCAGGGACAGCTCAAGGCAGAGAGTCCTAGTTTCTCAATAGAGCAAATGGTGCTAACTCCCAGGTGTAGACTTTGCCAAGGCAAGAGAGGGAAGGGGGCAGCTGTGCATTTGATGAAGATCGCTTGGCTTGTCGGGAAATGGGGTATGAAAAAATCTAACCACAGGAAAGAGCTAACTCAATAGTGTTGGGAGAGACTTCTGACCAGGGGCCTGGAAATCTGGTCCAAAGACTTAAGAGAAAAACCAGAAACCTACATCCCTCCTTCCCTCATGCCAAAGGCAAGCTCTCCTCTGTCCCCCCAGCTGCTCACATTAGAGGGGGCAAAGGGACAAGGAGGCAAAGGGTGCTTGGAAGTAAAACCCTGGACCAGGTCCCAGTATGCTGCTACAGAAAACTGAAGGGAAAGGACAAGTGTGGGAGACAAGCAGGACCCCATCCCCATCTCCTCCAGCAAGTATGTTCTGGATCCAAGGTCTGGTCGCTCCCTGGCTCTAGCCTGCTGACCAGGCCAACAGGGTGCCTGCCAGAGCTGCCCACACTTCTTAACCCCAAAATTACTCCCTTGCCAGGGGGATTGTGCCCCAGGTGCCCAAGAGCTGATACCTCCTTTGACAAGCACCGTTTCTGTAATCATGCGTGTTGAATGAGTGAATGATGAAGGAGTGATACTTTCCCTTGGATATGGTGCTGTTGCTGCAGCCATCAGGAGCAACAGGGTCTGCAGTCAGTGTTCATCTAAAATCTTTCTTATAAAATGTGTTTTAAGGAGCTGTGCTTGAAAAGGTTTTCAAGTTAAACTGGCTAGTGGGAAGCTGGGGGAGTCACAAAACTGTTTACAAAGCAATTCTATTTTTGGGAAATAGATAAATGATAGGTTAGGACAGGTGTGCAATAATGTTAAGGGGGGTAAGGTTCACATATATCATTTGTGGAGGCTTCTCTAGGAGTGGGGACTCATATTTGCTATGGTTTAAAAAAGTGTTTTCCACTCACTAGATCACTGATATGCTGCAAAGGGTACTAAAAAAAATCCCAACACAAATCAACAGCAAGATAAAGAAGCAGAGCAAGGTATGCAAAAAGAGTGGGGTAAAAAAAAAAAAAAAGAGTGGGGTAGTTGCAGCTCTCCCCAAATCTCCATATGTTCACCAGCCCAGAAACTATAAAAACTAGATGTCCTAAAGGAACTCTGCAGAGTTTTGTGGACTCCATCCCCTATTCTAGTGATTGGAAACTACAACTCCCAGCAGTACCAGGGAGAGAACTGCGAGGACCTAAGGGCGGATCTAAGCAGGCATTCTGGGACTTTGGGGGATAAATAGGAAGCCATTTTCTTTTCTTTTTTAAAGATTTATTTTTTTATGCTTACTGCACTGGGATACAGGCCAGAGGTGTGGTGGGTGAAAGGATTCATCAGATTCATCAGAGAGAGAGAGTGGGGAACAGAACAGGCAGATCTATTGAAAACTTATTGAGGGGAGCAGCGGGCGGGTCAGGAGAGGTCTGCCACCATGTGGGTCAGCTCCCCGTCCAGGGATTGAACTCATGCTGCAGTGGCTTCGGAGAGCTTCATAATGTGGTGCTTTATCCCGTTGTGCCACCAGGGAGAGCCAGGGCACCATTTTCTACAGCTCTCTCTCACTTGGGCAACAGCTCTCGGGACCCTGTGACTGGGGGCTATCATTTAGTCTGTTACCAGAACTCCAAGTCAGCAGAGCCAGTAAGATATTCTAATTACCTTGTATATCTCTCTCTTTCCCTGGGTTGTTCCTTTTCCTTCCCCCTTTTGTAAATAAACCCATTATTGACCCTTTTGTGTGTGCCTGCAGAACAACTAAATTTTTTTTTTTTTTGAGAACAACTGAATTTTAAGTGCACAGGTGAAGACTCACAGACAGGCAGCTCAGTTCACACTGGGGTGCCCTGTAATACAGTGAATATTCATTTGAAAATTTAAAACTTTTAAAAATTGAAATTAAACAAGGTACATGCCCTTGGACATGGCTGTGTAACTCCAGACCCCCACAGAAGCAGCAGCGGCCCCACTGGTGATTTTAACACATCACTCTGAATGTTTGGGCCTCAGGTGTCTCATTGAAACATGGTTCCACAATTCTTATCCTGCCCACTTCACAAAGGCACCTGGTATCTTTAATGGTTGTAAGTTCATATTAGCTCATGGACACAAAAGCCAAACACAGATGCAGGAACATAGTTATATCTTAAATGGCTGGGAGGGAACACTCAAAATGGTGATAGCCGTGTTCAGGGGGTAGGTGGCAATGTTCCCCCTTTCTGGTATATTTTATCACTTAAAATTTAATTCAAATTTCAAATAAAACAAAATAGCTACTCATAGAATGAAAAGTCACCTCTGTGCGAAAGATTTTCCATGCCTGAGCTTAAGCCTTAAGGCTGTCTCCACCCCAAAATGGTCACTTGGACCCAGGCACTCAAGAATGCAAAAGAAAGAACACAGCTGCTCTGGATTTCCTGAAGTCCAGGAGCCTCCACCCAGCCCTTCAGAGATGGACCCCAAGAAAAGGGTCACATGAGGTTGACAGGTGAAAGACAGAGGAGATGCCCAGGGACGACTGTGACTAGGGGCCCCATGGCACTTAAGTCCATTAGTGCCATATTTTAAAAGTGTGAGAGAATGGTGATAACAAAATGATTTCAAGTGGGTCCAGACACACATTTTTATTCCAATGGTTTTGTATTTATTTTTATGGTTAACTTCTATTTGTGGTAAGTGTTGCTGGTTTGCCATTTTAGTGTGTGAGCTAGTGTTCCTTTTTAGTTTGTGTCAGAGTAACAAAAGAGAGAGCCGACTTAAAGAAAATATACCAAGTAAATAGTTTTGGGATGGCCAAAATTATGAAGGGATTTTGTGAAATCCTGAGGTTGCTTTCACTGATCACGGGTTCCCATGGAAGGAAAATTATCTCTATCATTAGAAATGAGTATAAATACCAGGAAACTGCTTCAGGGCCTACTCTTCACCATCAGTTCCAAAAATATGCACATATACCCTGACAGAGAGTGTTTATTAACTGCACATGTGCACACCCCACACCAAGGCATATGGTCTTTTTCAAACCACTGGGCCACGTTTATGAATAGCATATTTGTACATGTGCTATATCTGAGCATGGGTAAAAATACATACCTTGGGTATAATCAAGTTGCTGTTTTAGACATTTCTTTATTCCCCCCACACAATGTGCTGGACATGTGATCCTGGCTTATTTATAGGAGAGGATCACTTTTCAGAGGACTTGGGGGCAAACACTTCCAGAGTCCAGGAACTGGCAGCTCTTGCCTCCTGGGAGAGGCTTGTGGTTTCATGGGTGATGCCTGAACTAGATACTGGGAGGCCAGAGCACCTCGCTGCTGAGAAACATTAGGAAGTAACTTCTCGACTCTGAGGCACAGACCACCTGCAGCAGGAACTTCTTCAGATCCTACACCCAAACATTAAATCCCAGAGAAGTGTGTGTGTCATCCATGCGATTCTGGCATTCTGGGTACTAACCGTGTGACCTGAGGCAAGTTATTTCTGTCTCTGATCGTTAGTTTTGTTGTTTAACAGCCCAGGTAATAATATCTGACACAGCCATGTGTGCAGGCATAGACAAGAATATTCATTATGTGTTAAGTGAAAATAAGGGAAAGCTGTGGGCCTTCCCTGGTGGCGCAGCAGGTTGAATCACAGCACTAAGAAGCTAAAGCCACTTCAGCATGAGTTCAATTCCCACCCTGGAGGTGACCCACATAGCATGGCAGATCTCTCCTGTCCCGCCCGCTGCTCCCCTCAGCAGTGTACTTCGACGATCTGCCTGTTCTGCTCCCCACTCTATCACTAGTGAGTCCTCTCACCACCCCTGCATCTCTGGGCTATATCCCAATTCTCTATGCATAAATGAATAAATCTTTAAATATACATATATATGTAAATATAATAAATAAATAAATATATAATAAATAAATAAATATATATTTATAAGAGAAAGCTGCAATATAATCCTATTTTTACTTTGAATTAAAAGGTTTTTGGAAGAAAACTTCAACATGTACAATAATGCCCAAAATGATAAAAAATACTATTTATAAACCCATAGCGGGTAAAGTTTAGAAGGACAGATATCAAAACTAACAGTGGCTTTCCTTGGGTGGAAAGATAGTGAATAATTTTTGTTTCTTCTTTTTTGTTTTCATGAATTTGAAAAATGCATCCATTAGGAACATAAACTAAGAGAAACATAAGAAACACTTTGAGGGTGGTAAGAAGAAGTAAATGAGAAAATATATTTTGTAAAAGGCTTAAAGCACAATGCTGGGCCCAGAATGAGCTCACCCTAAGAAGTTCCTATAGTTAAAAAAAAAAAAAGAAGTCCCTGTAGTAACTTTCAACCCAGGCAATTTTTCTGCTCTCTCCTTTGTCTTTGGGGACGCACAGGAGTCAGGCCTCACTTGATTCTCATCCAGCTCATTCTTTCTGTGTTCGTACAACTTCCAGGAAGTACCGCCAAGTAATGGTGAGAAACCCCACCTTCAGAAAGGCATAGAATATGCCAGGTCAGGTGCAGTTGGGCCAGCACCCCACAGTCCACTCCCTAGAGCATCCGGGAAGGGCCCGAGGCCACTGAGTAGAAGGAGCTCCTGCAGCATAGGCCGTCTGAGGCTCTGCTCAGCAACACAAGGGGGATTTCTGGGCAGTTCCCTGAACTTATCTGACCATGGGACACTTTTCTCAAGAAGCATCTTTAGGGACTAATGTGCTACAAAGAGAATACTTTGGGAAACTATGACCTAATTCCACCCTTTCACGTTTTCCCTTTAATTTTATATATGGGAAGGATGAAGCTGAGTGAGAAGTGACTTACTGAAGACCAATAGGGCTCGCTGATCACCAAAGTCAACAGGATCGCTTATATCTTGGCCTCCCAGCCTTCTCCCTCACCAGTGTTGCCTGGCTGTGTCCTGTGGCTTTTCTCCTACACCTTCACCCCTACCTAGACATGGGCAAATAGTCAGAGGAGCTGGGACAACTCAAGACAGGTTAGTTCCAAGCTGGGGAGATCCAGAAACCAGTATTTCTGAGTTCTAAAGAACACCACCTCCACCAGAAGAAAATGAGAGAGTGAGCTATCAACTCAACTGCAGAGTAGCTGGGAAAGGCTACTGGAGTCACGTTTCCAAAAATGCAAGAATGCACAGGGCTGGCGAGCAAGTCACGAGATGACTCTTTAAGATCAAGATATAAGCTCAGATACGTGAGCCTCATGCTTCCTGCTCATGATGCATGGACATCTGGGTCTGCCCAGGAGGCCGCAATACAGGTGAACTCTAGGAGTTAGCCTTTGCTTCTCTGCCAGCCTAGAAACTCCTCCGAGGCCTTTCTCCACCTGTCCATTGCCTTTATAGGGAGAGAGGAGAGTGAAACAGCAAGAACAGCCACAACCCATTTATCAGACACTATACCCCAGTGTTTGCAACTGAGAAAGGAAGTTATGCATCCAAGGTGGAAACTCCAGAGGAACCCTACAAAGAGAGAACCTTCCCAGCAGCCTCCCAGCCCTGGATGAACAACATTCTTCCCAATGACTCACTGTGGGGCCTTGCTTACACTACAGCTCCTCTCTAGCCCTTCTTCTCAAAAAGCAAGTGGTTGGACTAGCTCTGAAGGACCCGACCACCCCTCTCCAAGGGCCACACCTTGCTGGGAGGCTTTCCTCCCAGAGAGCAAAAAACTTCTCTTTTGAGAAACACATCCAACCCATCTTTTGAACCAGAAGCAAGAGGACAGTCAGGCAGTGGTTGGCTCCCAAGTCAGTTTGAACAAGTGGAGTGACCCCAACATAAGAAACTCAGGTCTTGAGCATACCTCAGCGCCCTCTCTGGTCTGCCCACTGGGACGCACTCCCCAGTTCCCTACAGGGCACTCACCGAGGCTCCTCAGGCACTGCCATCTGGTCCTTCTCCCAAGTAATGACAGGAGCTGGCAGCCCTTCGATGTGGCACTCAAACCGGGCCGTCCCATTCTCCTCCACCGTCTGAGATTCCGGGTGCAGAGAGAAGCCTGCAAGTGCTGGGGATGAGGACAGCAAGGATAGGGCATGGGAAAGAGACATGGACCGTGAGCATGGACAGCGAGCCACGTCTTACACAAACACACACACTTAGGCACGCGTGACACACAGACACAGAATCACAGGAGTAGAAACACAAGCAGAGCAAATTCAGAGCAAGGGAGACAGTTGGAGAGAGGCAGCCAGGGGTGAGCAGTGGGGATTACGGATCAGATGCAGCTGCAGAATGAATTCAAGTCCCTCTGACTAACAGCATATTGTGGTCAGACTAGAGTAACACACATGAAAATTATCTCATGGTGATCTGTGCCTCCTGAGAGCCTTCTGAGGGGTGAGCTGAACAAGGGGGCTTGATTCCCCACACTGCACCTGTTGTGGGGGTGAGGAACTCCCTGGGGAGGCAGGATTCTGACTCTTCCAGCCTCTCTGGCAGGCTTCCGGGAGGAGAGCGCCACTCTAGACCCCAAGGGGAAGACAAGAAGAGAAACTCGGAGGGAAAGAGAAGGAGTGGGGAGCAGTGGGACTACTGAACAGTGAGGCAAACGATACCAGCCAGGGTTCTGCTTAGCAGGACAGGAGGCAGGACAGGGGTCTGCTTAGCAAGACAGTGGCCTCCAGAGAGAGGCCTTCAGGCAAATGACCTACCTCAAACCCCATTCCCACACCCAAAGTCTCCCAGGTCTCAGCTTAGCCCCCAAATGTAGGCACTTACAGGCAAGCTTCAGCATGGCCACCTGGCTGGCCACCACTCCAAGGGGGCCATGGGCCAGGCAGGAATAATTGCCCTCAATGACCTCCGCTGCTCTGGAGACAGCCTTGTCACTGCTGTTGGGTGCTGGTGGTGGGGACAGCCACAGGGAGCCATTGGGAAGCAGGCGCAGGTGGTCATGCTCCGGCAGGGCGCCTCCATCTTTGCTCCATGTCACACTGGTAGGAGGTCCAGCTGTGGCAGCCCCCAGACTACAGTCCAGCACCGCCATCTGCCCTGGGCCCAGGATCACTCGCAGCGGCCCTGCTCCACAGCTCAGCTCCACCGTCACCTCCTGGAACAAAGGCAGCTCCCCTGCATGGAAGGAGCAGAGAGGAAGGTAGTGGGTATCTTCCAATGTCTGGTAGCCCCCAGCTCTTGAGGCCCCCCACCTGGGGCTGGGGCACCTGAGAGGATGGGAGAAGTTGTCTCTAGGAGAGACTTGCCTCTGGTTTCTGGCACTGCCCCTCACTGTGATGTTGGCCAAACTGCTGTGCTTCTCTGTGCCCACCTTCCCCTACTGTTCAATTTCCTCACCATGAAAACACGGATCATAAAACCACTCTTCATAATGGGAAAAAAGTAGAAGCAGCTCAAATACCTGTCACCTAATGAATGATAGATACATTATCCAGCCATCAACAGGAATGAAGTATTGATGTACCATCCAATGCGGGTGAAGGCTGAAAACTTTATGCTAAGTAAAGGAAGTTAGACACAAAATACCACATTTCTATAAAACATCCAGAATAGGCAGACCCATAGAGACAGAAAGGACATTCGTGGTTGCCAAGGACTAGAGAGAGAGGGGAGAATGAGGAGTGATCGTTAAAGAGTGTGAGATTTCTTTTTTGGGAGAGGAAAATGTTCTAGAATTAGATAGTGATGATGGTTGCACATCCTTGTGAAACCTACGAAAAACTACTTATTTCTGCACTTTAAATAGTGAGTTTTATGATATGTGGATCATATCTCAATAAAAATAGATTGATTCCTTCCTCATAGAGCTGTGGTGGACATTCACTGAGAGGACACATATGGGAAAAGAGCACAGCACAGTCTCTAGCCTGGGATAGAATGGGGTTCAGCAACGTCATTCCCTCCTTAGGAATTATCTTGACTACTGATATCCAACAAAAAATATATACTAGAGTTGAAAAATACTGTATCCAGGAAATGTATGGTGGGTGTGAGAACATGCTCTGTGTATATATGAATATCTTGGATAAACAAAATAAAAATAAGATCCAGCTGGTCTGTGAGCACCTGGATAAAAGAAGCTAGACTCCCTCTCCTATCCCACAAGTGGATACCGTGAGCAGATTCTGCTGGGCAAAACTGAGTGCTCCATGACCACCCTGGTCAGGGCCAGCCCAAGCTCTAGTCAAAGCGAGTCTAAGACGAGTCAAAGCAAGTCACACAAAGACCAATGTCTATCATTTTAACCCACAGTTTAGCAAGGGCCAGTAACCACTATTGACAGATAAATGGTTCTCCCAGAAGATTGAACTCATACTGTCTCTCTGTTTCACAAAAACTCAGTGGCCCAAGGTCCTTTCTTAGCCTCTGGCCTGACTCTTGTTTCAAGGTAGTGTTGGTATGTTTGATAGTGAACCAGGGACAGGGGTGAGGATAATGGCCCATACTCACGATAAGGTCATTGTGGGCCAACAGTTGTCTAGGACATGTAGAAAACACAATGGTTATGGAATCAGGAGACCCTCAGTTCTAGACCCAGCTCTGTTATAGCCTCGCCAAGTCACCTTGTTGGGGGAGAGGATGTCCTGAACAAACTCCATAAATAGGTTTTATGGACCCCACCGCCACCCCAGATGAAGAGATCTAAGACACCAAGGACTACAGATCCTATAGTGTCATCAGCACCAAAGGAAGGATTGCTGGGAACTGAGGCTGGAGTTAAGTAGCCAGGTTTGATATATAACCAGACATGTGGGTCGTGGAATGTTTTTTCACCAACTTTCAGAGTGCTATTGGGGTTCCAGCTCAGTAGAATTGGTAGGACGCATTCACCAATTTATCTCTCTCTCTTTTCCCCTAAGCTATTCATTTCTTTTTCTTTCTTCCTTTCTTTCTTTCTTT